CTGCCAAAAGTAAAATAGATACGGCAGATCTGTTGCCATGTTCTGGTTATGATAAGCTACAAATCAACGGGAGGGCAAGTAAATACGAAAACTCGTACAAGAGAGGCGACCACAAACACAATTCAATTGATAAGCCAACTCTGTAGACACACCTTCATACATATGTACATATATACAAAGCATTGAGACAATATTTTTTTGCACAAATATTTAATTAAGGTACATATACATATAATTTAGTTCACACAAAAACATGCTATTTTAATAAAAACTTTTCCACTGCTCGAAAATATTTGAATGCCCAAAGTAATAATGTGCTTGTCTGACATTTATAAAAGTGGATCAGTTAAACTGTGTGTTAAAAATTTATGAATGTTTTATAAATATTTAGAATTTTAAATTAAATGCGTCATAATTTATGACAACAAACAATTAACGAATTTCTAGCGCGTGAATGGGAAAGGTGAGAAACTGACAAAGCATTATAAAAGGCCATAACAATAATTATATATTTAAGATGATCTGGACGATAAAACTAAGATAACGGATGATCCAAGTAGAGGAAATTTTTTCAAAAGCTTCTTTTTGACAGATCACGCGTGAGTCTTGTCAAGCTGTCATGTTATTTTTGTTCTGCATTATTTGGCATTTCCATATCGTTCAAATTTATTACGAAAATTTACATGCTGTAAAAAATATGTTTCGCGCGCTTCGCTCAATTTATGGTCAATATAATCGGCCTACTGAGCGTAATATACGCAACACCAGCACCCACCTTGAGACTCAGCATTTATTATTGGATAATATTCGACCGAATAGACCACGTTCAGCACGCAGAGAAGAAAATATAGCAGCCGTAGCTGAGAGAGTGCACGAAGGCCGTGGAGAGTCGCATCTTCGCCGTTCGCAGCAACTGGTGCATTTGACGTCGAGACCTTAAATTGAAAACGTACAAAATACAGTTTGTTTAAGAATTGACGCTGCTCGACCTTTACAACTTCGCTTCGCTCTATGGGCTTTAGAAAACCTCCAAGAAGATTCGTCGTTTCCGAGCCAAATTTTGTTCAGCGATGAGGCCCATTTCTGGCTCAATGAATGTGTAAACAAGCAAAATTGGAACACTTGGGACAAAGGGCAACCTGAAGAGATTCAAGAGCTCCATTAATTAAAAAAAAAAACGGGTTGGTGTGGTTTGTGGGCCGATGGAATCATTGGTCCATATTTCTTCAAAAATTATGCCAATGAGAACGAAACCGTCAATGACGACCGATAACCGACTACTTTATACCTGAAATTGAGACACTCAATCTCGGCGAAAAGACATTGAGAGAACACTTCGTTCAGCAGAAAATTTCACATTTTCGGCCGGTCGATTGGCTACCAAGATCGTCTTATATCACACCGGTACATTTTTTCCCGTGGGGTTATATATGCGGACAAACCTGCTTCGATTCAAGACTTGGAGCAAAACATTACGCGTGCCATTCACCGGTTACCAGTCGATGTAAAGAGTCATCAAAAATTGGACGCAACAGAGACGTAGCCGAGGCCAACATTTGAAAAAGATAATCTTTAAAAAAATAAATGTCAAAAAAAGTTTTCGATTGAAAAAAGCCATTCCTCCGAAATGGATCACCCTTTACCTAACAAGCGCATTGATAAATTTAGCAAAAATTATACATACACATATACATTTTCTTAGTTGGAAACGTGCGACTCTTAAAATAGCATATTCATAAATTTTATAGATAAAATATTAAGACTAAGGAGTATAAACGAATTCTTAAATAAAAGCGTGAAGCAAAAGTGTAAAAAAACAATAAGAAAAATATTTTAAAACAAAAATGTTCCAACATTTTATTAGAATTAAAATTTTATGAAAACAATTTAAAGATTGTGTAGGTTGAAAATAGTTTTCTTATAAAAGTAATTAAGAAAGGGCACCAAAACTCGTTAATGATTTTTTAAGCGAAAAATTAATACGTTTCAAAAAGAATACCGTAAAAAGGTCTTTGTGGACATGCTTGATTGAATGAACTCCGATACCACCTTCATGGAGATCATTCTATCTACCAATGAGATATTTCATGAGTTTGGCATACAAGTCAGCAATCATCGGGAAAAAACGTGTCGAAACCAAAAGAAAAAAGCCGCTCAAAAATCAATGTAATGCTCATTGTTTTTCTCGATATTCATGGTTTGGTGCATCATGAATTTCGTCTGAAGGGACAGACGGTAATTAACAAGTTCTATTTGCCCCTATTGAGGTGTTTGCATGAGAACCACCGTAGAAAACGGCTGGAAGAATGGCAGAACAATTCATGGATTTTACACAAATACCAACGATCAACCAACGTATTCAACAGATGTGTAATTTTTTCTTGTGAACAATTGATTTATCTAATGCTGGATAAATTGCCAAAAATTCACATATTATAGCAAATTGGGGATTTAAATGAACATGGAGTAATAGATGTATGTATATAGTATTCTCCCAAATCGTAAGAACCTAGATTATTTTACTAACTGTCAAGCCTATATTCTATGATTTATAACAAAAATTGTATAAAGCTTTCGACTTCAGTTAATTCTCTTGGAAGATGGAATGATATTTTACAAAATGAGATCTTGGAGAGTAGCTTATCGAACAAACAACTGGTATAAATTAACATAATTCTATCTAGAGAGAACAACAAGTGATTAACTCCTCTATGGAGTTAGACATAAAATGACTTTATTGTATAAAAATTAACCAACTTTCTTTTATAAAATAAATAACATGCAAATTATTTTTCCACAAGTAGCTAGAGCTCAAACATTTCGAGCAACCAAATGGCGAGACGGATGGGCTATAAGAAACAGGCGTCTCTAGTTTAATAAAAAATACATATGTACACATTTCTTCAAAGAACTTGTATTTTTATCAGGTTGGGTATTTCTGCCAACGACTCATTTATTGAGAAATCAATGTCAAGTGCTTAAATATTGCTTATGTACATACATATGTACATGAGTAATAGATATATGTATGTAATACATATGTATATTAATTTCTAATATATTGAATATCCGTATTTAGTCGCTTAAAGCTAGTTAAAGTCTTATCAGTGTAACTTTTTGGACTTTTTGCCACTGGGTCCACAGATTACTTTGACGGAACAAGAATGAAAATGATGTTAATTACCTTTATTAGTTATAATAATTTATTTCATTTTATTATAACAGAAATGCAAAGCTGTTTATTTTATTTAAAAAAAAAAACGTTTTAGTTTGTGTAGTTCTAGACATTAGTGAAGCTGATAAAATAAGAGTTGAAATACTGTGAGAGTTGAGAATTTAATTACATGTACTATATGTATATACTATTTTCGATTGTTAAAATATGGAAGTTCTGACGATACTATGATGCTAATTATGATTCATACTTACATATCGAGAACTGAAGAGTGAACCGTGATGCTTCTACAGACAAAACACAAGAGACCGAAGTGTGTGAGTATGAAGAGTTTAATAAGCTGGCCGACAGGGGTACAGCTCGAAAACTCTACGGAAAGATGCGGCGACTAACATAACGATGGAGCAGACGTTCCATTGCCCGTCCATGAAGAAGTCCGAATGTCAATTAGCCGTCTGAAGAACAACAAAGCGCCGGCTTCCGATGGATTGCCAGCCGAGCTATTCAACAGCTTGATTCCGGCGATCGGAATTTAAGTGTGCTCTATTCAAACCACAAAAGGGGTGAACCCACAATCTGCGTCCATTATAGTTGGAAAAGCCTTCTTAATATTGCATTTGAGGTCATATCGAGAGTAGTGTGTGAAACACAGAAGGCCACCGTCAACAAACTGATTGTGCTGTATTAGTATGACTTTCGAACTGGTAAATCTAAATTGACCAGATCTTTACCATCTTTTTTGGAAAAGACCCGTGAAAGGAAGATCGACACACAGCATGTCGATTTTACAAACAGTTTCGACAGCACGACGAGGAACTGCCTCTATGCCGCTATGACTGAACTTCATATCTCTGCAAAGCTAATACGACAGTGTAAGGTGATGTTAAGCAAAACCATAAGCTCCGTCAGAAGATAATTTCGTCATCTTGGAACCAGTATTAACACTAACAACAATGTTAATCTCGACATCCAAAGCAGTATCACTACAGTTGCTACTTTGGACTGAGTAGGCAATTGAAAGATAAGTCCACTCGCGACGAACAAAGATCAAACTCTATAAGTCACTCATTATTCCCATCATGCTATATATGGCAGAGGCATGGACGATGACAACATCTGATGAGTCGGCCTTAGGTGTGTTCGAGAGAAATGGTTTGCGGAAAATGTATGGTGCTTTGCACATTGACAATGGCGGGTACTGCCGTCGATCAAACGATAAGCTGTATGAGATATACAACGACATTGACATAGTACATCTAATCAAGAGACAGGTCATGTTGTCCGGATGGAAGAGAGCAGTCCAGCTTTGAAGGTTTTCGTTTCTGTGCCTGTGGGTGGAAGCAGGGGAAGATGAAGACCTACTATACACACCGCTGGAGAGATTATGTGGAGAAGGAAATGGCTACACTTGGTACCTCGAACTGAAGGCAAATATAACTTAAGAATATAAACTTGAGAGCTGTGGAACTTTGAAGGCTGAAAGCATGTCAATTTTCAAATTGTTCGGTAAATTTCTCAAATTTTCGGAAACATTTATTTTTGGCGTTTGTTGAGTATTCAAAAATACATATTCGTATTTCACTTCGCCAGCCATCGATCGCTTAGGCTTTTGTATATGCTATAAAAATAAACAAGTATGTAGGCAAATGTATGAATGTATTTGTAAAAATATTAACCCATGCTGATAACATTTAATGTATGATTATTTCAATTTATGCGTGTTGTTATTGCTTTTAAATTTCAGTTTGATTTTAAAATCGTTGGTACTTGTAGCACAGCTTATATGCTACGTGGCAGCTATAGACTGTAGAATCCCTGTACTCACCAAGTTTGCCCATAAGGTCCTCAAGTACGTAATCCACCGCCATGTTTTAGGTTATGTTTTTAATTTTTTTTTTTTTATTTTAAATAAATTTTTGCATGCTCAGCTCCTTGAACTTTAACAGCAGAGACGCTATATTTTTGATGAAAAAATTGTATTGAAAACTTAATAATAAACACAATAAAAAATGTACATTAAGTAATTAAAT